GACAGAGCTGGCAATCTGCTTCTGAAAGGCCACAGCCTTGAGCAGTTATACTTTGCACACACGGGGATACTGAGAGTCAGAATTGACTCAATGGCAAATAAGAGAGTAATGACTAGGCTCCCCTGGATGGTACAAATGATTGTGGTTGGCTACTAACTAACAGGGTGGCAGTTCCAGTCCAAGGGACTCAAAGTGCCTCAAAAGAAAAACCCTAAACTACTTCTGAAATATTAGTCATTGATGTGACTGTGCTATGGCACACATTTCTATTCTGACATATCTGAGGTTGCCGTGAGTTGGGGTTGCCATGAGTCAGAATTGACTCAATGGCAAGTACTCTGTAGGTTTTAGACTAATGACTGGCCAAGAAAAATGGAGTTAAAATGACTGTGTTAAAGGTTGAATTGTGTTCCCCAAAAAAGTTAAAACCTTGAATTAGTAAATATGACCATGTTTAGGAGTTCTTTTTTTTTTTTTTTTTTATGCTAAAAATGTCATGGCAGAGTAGGATAGATCATAAATCTAATCACTTCTGAGTGGTGTCTTATTAAAAGACAATAGTTGCAGACATACCCGGGGGAAGAGATTATGTGAGGAACTATAAGCTAGTAGGCATCAGAAGCCACCAAACTTCACTAGTAGGAGAGAGGAGAATCAACATTATCATCAGCCCAAGACTGCTTTCTATGAGGTAGAGGTCAGGCATATCTCCACTCTCCAACTCTTCTAATTCTGGTGCCAGCTGTCCCTCCTACAGCACTCTTTCTTCTCTGCTGTTTGATAATTCATTCCAGTGGTGTGGTACAGTCAATTACTTGGTATAGCTCTCCTAGTAATGGTCTTTCTGACTCCCACCAGATTATTGGGTGGAAGTAGCAAATGTGACATGCTTGTGGCCCACCAAAGGGATTGGATAGCTTGCTAATAATGTAAATATGGTACATGGCACCCTTGTGGGTGTGGCACTATACAACTAAGGTGTATGGAACCCAAATGTTGGGATTGTTTAGTTTTGTCATTCTGCCACGCTTAAGTGAGCCCTCCTAGAGGCAGAAGGGGAAGATCCCACTGCCATCGAGTAGAGCCTGAGGTGGAGTGGAGCACATCCTTGGACTTGAGATCCCTGAGCTGAACCTCCCTGGCAGAGAGATGGGAGAGATGACTGGCTGAGATGACCAGCTGAGGAACCAAAAGGCACAAGACAGAGCAACAGGCTTGCTGGCCCATGGAGCGAAAAAGCTGAGTGCTTTGGGCAGGAGGCTTGCTGGCAGAGTGGGGTGCACCTATTGGCAGAGCTAAAAGAGCTCTGTAATACTCGCCAGAGCAGGGCAGAGGCCAGGCTGAGAGGCCAAGGGTCAGGGAGGCTTGCCTGAGGGCATAGTAGACAGGAGACTGTCCTGACTAAAGAACTGTATCCCAAGAGCATTCCTGAACCTGAATTGTAGCCTGCTACTTCCCTAATAAACTCCATAATCATGAGTATTGTCTGTGAGTTACATGTGGTCCTTGTAATGAATTAATGAACCCAGCAGAGAAGTAGTGAGTGCTGTGGGAGTGACAAATGGTGTCAGAAATGGTAAAAAGCCTGCAGGATGGCATGTCTGGCTTCATAGGAATAAGCCTTAGGCTGCTGATGGCAATTCTTTCTCCCTTTCCTGAAGTTAGAGGAGGTCAGAGGATGTCGCCCCCATGTCCTTTTTGCAATGGCCACACAGAACTCAAAGACCACAATTATGATTATTGGATTTATTAGGGAAGTAAGAGGCTACAATTCAGGATCAGGATCAATTTGGAAGTATACAGGAACAGCTTAGGATAATTTGTCAACCAGAACAACTTTCAACCAAGATAGCTTTCAGTTCCTTCTTGGCCATGCTAGCTGGAAGACTATGCTCAGGTCTTTGTCACCAGCCCCTACTTGAGCTGGGCCTACTGCCATTGGGTCCACTTGGGAATTACAGCTCTTTGGGCTTAGCTGTCAAGGGCCTGAAGGCAATTCAATCCACCAGCAAGCCTCCTGCCTGATGACATTCAGTTGTCTTGCTCTGTGGGACAGTGACCCCACTATAGCCACTTTGCTTCTTGGGTAGGGAAGTCCACTACAGCTGTTTTGTGCCAGTCTCCTGGTTCTCTTTGCTGGAGCCATCTTGCGTGGTCTTGTGCTATCTCTAGTGTTACAGCTTTCTGTCTCCTGGGTCTAGGAAGTTCTTAGCATAGGGTCCCAAGTCCAAAGGACATGCTCCACTCCTAGCTTTCCTTCTTGTTGGTAGTGAGGCTCCCTCTAATCTCTGTGTAATAGGTTCTTCTAACACTAGCAGAATGGCAAAACTGACCAATCCTCTAGGTAAGTCACAGTCACTTATTCTGCATAGTAACCAACCAATCTCTGTAAGAACTGTACATACTTTATTTGCATACCAAATTGTCCAATCCCTTTGCAAGAGTGTGGCCTAGCAAATCATCTTGGCATAACTACAAGCACAGTGCCAGAAAGGCAATATATAAAGAGAAACCTGTTGCCCTGCAGGAACCTTCTACAGGCCAAGAAATGTCATGGAATGCACAGTTACTGAAAAGGAGAGACTCTCCCCTAAAGTCAATGCCCTAATTAGGACCTCTAGCCTCCAAAACTGTGAGACAATATATTTCTGTTCTTTAAAGCCACCCACTTTTGTTATTTGTGTCATGGCAACACTAAGAATCTAAGACAGACTGGTTTAGACTCTAATTTGTCCCCTGGGACTGGGGTGGAATGTACCTTCCTTGGGCATATTACTACCAACTGATAACTGAGAGGAACTCTTAGTATGAAAAAATGGGGGACTGGATGTTGGGAAGACAACCAAAAGTATCTGTAGTACTCTCCATACTCCCCAATACCTACTTCTACATCATTTCCAGCTAAGATCTTTCACTTTACACGGTATATTTAGCTTCTTACAGTTCTCAAATATATTTTGCACCTTCTAAATTCTGATTACATTGCTTCTTTCTTATGCCTAGAATATTCTTCCCCACTGTGGTACAGTGAATTACTATGGCTTTTCTAGCCATAGTCTTTGTGACTCCCACCAGATAACTGAGTGAGACCATGCAAAGAAGGTATTCTGCCAGGCTTAAAATGAGGCCTCCTAGAGGTAGAAAGGGGCTCTCACTGCCATCAAGAGAGAAGAGCTGGAGGTGAAGTGGAGCATGTCCTTGGATCAAAGAACCTTGTGCTGGACGTCCTTGGCAGAAACATCCAAGCTGAGAGAGAGAAGCAGTGGAACCAAGAGGCACGAGACAGCAGTGGCCTTGCCAGTTGATGGAGCAAAAAGCTGAGAGACTTGCTGGCAGAGTGGGGTACACCTTGGTGTACATATCAGCAGAGCTAAAAGAGCTTTATAACATTTGCAACAGCAGGGCAGAGGCCAAGGGCCTGGGAGGCATGCCTGAGGGCATAGCAGACAGGAGACTGTCCTGTTTGAAGAACTGTATCCCGAAAGCATTCTTGAACTTCAATTGTAGCCTTTTACTTCCCTAATAAACCCCATAGTTGTGAGTATTGTCTGTGAGTTCTATGTGGCCACTGCAATGAATTATCAAACAAGAAGAGAGGTCATGAATGCTGTGGGAGGGACAGTTGGTATCCAAGTTGGTAAAAAGTTTGGAGGGTGGCAACAAGTCTGGCCTCATAGGAATAAGCCTTGGGCTGCTGATGGTGATTCTGTGGCTCCTTCTTGAGGCTGGAGAAGGTCAGAGGATGCTGCCTTCATGCCCCTTTTTGCACCCATTCTTCCCCTTTTCTTTTTTTTCATGGGTGCTCCCTTTTTTAGAAATTTTTCCCAATACCTTTACCACTCAGTTCCATGATTTTCTCTCTTCTAGTAATCTAATCCTCTACCTACTTCACCCACTTTTCATGGTCATACCCCAAAATTGTAACAATTGCATCTCTTCCACAATCTAAATTTTCTATAACTAAAGAACAGGTTCCACCAGTCACTCCTTGGAAGGAAGACTGGGCAATCTAATTCCATAGAGATACCACCTCGGAAACCCAAGGAGGGGTCGCTGAGTTGCCTAGTTTGCAAAGCAATTCTCAGTGTCTAGCCTGAATTCTTCTATAACAGCGCTGTAATTCTCCTATCTCACTGTCCAGTGCACAAAAATAAAAACTTCAATTCCAGCATTCACAACTGTTGGAATTCTTCCTTTCTCCATCCTTATCTTAATTGCTATACTTTTGGGGACTACCACTCTAGAGATGCAATATATCACTGCTATTTCCCATTTTCCTTTCTCAGTATTTTCTGTGAACTGACATCTCTGAAATACTACAGAAAAATGAGAGAGATGGATAATTCACTATTTTGGCTGTCTGAAAAAGCAGCATCCCGATGCTAGAAAGATAACTATCTACATTTCCGACATAGCATAGATTACAGATCTCTAAGTTAGGAGGAACAAGTAGAAGATGGACCAAAGCATCCCTTCATCATTTATCAGAGAGGTAAAGCCTGGGCATACTTGGGTAGTTTTTTTCAATTCAACTCTTTCCATCTTACAGTCAGTGGAAATTTTCTCCAATTTTGGAAGTTGGTGGCATTTTTTGGTTGGTGTTTTTTTGTTTTTAATTAAGCATTATGATTTGTTGCTATTGTCTTTTTGAAAAGACGACAGGAGCTACTACCGTGGGGCTACTATCTAGATACCATTTTTAACTGAGAATTACGTCTTTTTTTAAAAAAATCTATCTTAAAACTTCAGTAAAAATAGTTTCAAACATCTCACAAAAAGCAAAGCCATTTTTACATATTTTAAAAAGCATTCTCCATTTACTTCTCTATTGAAAAAGTAAATAAATAAGATGGGAAAATGTATTTTTAATTGTATGACACATTATATAAGGAAGGAGCTATGAGAAAAGAAAGAACAAAAATAAAAATATCCCTGGATAAAATCTACGTGTACAGATGATTCAGGATGTTATAAATAACTCATATGAGGTCAAGCAAACATGCAGTATTTATATCATTCTTTAAAGAAGGACATATTTTATTAATTGTCAAGTTCTTTAGCAGATTAATAATAAACGATTAGTGCATATATTATCAAGATATACACCTCTGTGGGCTCAAAGAAAGTCCAGATTATTTTAAGGTGAGTTTGCTTCTTTTTCTTCTGATTCATCATCCATGACCTTAAACCAAAAAACAAAGAAAATTTAAAGATTAAGAAAAAGATTGGAAATTGGTATTTTCCTGATTTTAATCTTATATAATTTATGTTGAATACACTACAATATTATCAATGCAAGCAATGTAGTAAGAAAAAATCTATGACAGCCACAAGGCACATTTTAACCTGGTATTCTAATAACATAAATGAAAATTAAATATCAGAAAATTAATTAAACCACAAGTTACTTTTCCTTGTCTCAAAAGAGGTTTCTAATAGCAGAGTCTCAAGTGATAACCCCTAGTCATAAGATTAAAGTAACTGACTTTGTCTTTTTTTTATTCCCCCAAAGCATCTTACTTATTTAAATCTATTCTGAGGAACTATAGTAAACTATTTTTATAAAAACATGTGTTAGAAAAATGACTCCCTAAATAAAAAAACACCTTATTAGCAAATAATTATTTTGATCTTATTCAGAAAGAAAAGTACTTTAAACCTTAAAAATTAGTAAAGAAAAATACTCATGAACATGTGAAGAAAAAATAAGAAAAATTAATACCTTTCTATGAGTTAATATATTACTCACATAATAAACTCATTTGAAGGCAAAAGGAGTTACAAAATTTGAGAACTTTTTTCTCCTCACCACACCTACTACAATTAAAAGGCCAATTCAAGTTTATTAAACTTAAGGATTTGTTTTCTCTTCACCACACCTACTACAATTAAAATGCCAATTCAAGTTTATAATCTGATGGCCAGGCCAATTCATCACCCTACCCTGATCAAGTGAATAAAAATGTTCCTTTGTTAATCCACCAAAGTGCAAACTAAGATAATGTTTTTTTAAAAGCAACTGGAGTATTAAAAAAAAAAAAAAAAAGCAAAGAAGAATCTGGTTCTAATCTAATACAATCAATCAATCAAAAACAACTCTCAAATTTTCCCTTCTGGGTTGAGTAAAAATGAGTATTTATTCCAAAGAATTAATATTTTATATCTACTCTTAGCAACATCCAATCAAAAGAATTTTGCCAACTGACTTCTATTTTAGGCAGAATTACTGCTAAATTTGGACTAATAGTCTCAAATATTTATTTAATACAAACTATATATAACCAAAAAAAAAAAAACCAAACTCACTGCCATTTAGCCGGATCCAACTCATAGCGACCCCCCCTTGGGTTTCCAAGGCGATATCACTATGGAAGTATATTGCCCCATCTTCCTTCCGAAGGGCTGGTGGGTTTGACCAGCCAGCCCTTCTGGTTAGCAGTCAAATGCCTTAGGCACTGCGCCACCAGAGCTCTCAAACTATATACAGAACATGTTTAAGACACAGAGCTGTGTTTTAGAGGATAAAAGACTTAGATATGATTTCAGATCTCTCAAGAAGCTTATACATAAAGCTGAAACTGAGAAAGAGGCTTTGGACCAAAGTAAAGCTTAATTCTAAATATGGTATTGATTAGGACTTCAAAGAGGAGAGGGCATGTGTTGGATGAAAAGTATGGACTTTAATACTACCTAGAGGTAAGAGCTGGACTATATGAAGAAAAACGTGGTATCAGGATTGGAGGAAGAATCATTAACAACCTGAGATATGCAGACGATACAACTTTGCTTGCTGAAAGTGAGGATGACTTAAGGCACCTACTGATGAAGGTTGAAGAATACAGTCTGCAGTATGGATTACGTCTCAATATAAAGAAAACAAAAATCCTCACAACTGGACCAATGAGCAGCATCACAATAAATGGAGAGAAGATTGAGGTTGTCAAAGAATTCACGTTGCTTGGTTCTACAATTGATGCCAACGGAAGCAGCAGTCAGGACATTAGATGATGTGTAGCATTGGGAAAGTCAACTGCGAAGGAACTGTATCAAGTGCTGAGGAGCAAGGATACCTCCTTGAGAACTAAGGTGCGCCTGACACAAGCCATGATATTTCCAATCGCCTGGTATGCATGTGAGAGCTGGACAATGAATAAGGAAGACCGAAGAAGAGTTGATGCTTTTGAGTTGTGGTGCTGGCGAAGAATGCTGAAAGTACCATGGACTGCTAAAAGAACTAACAGATCTGTCCTGGAGAAAGTGCAGCCAGAATGCTCCTTGGAAGCAAGAATGGCCAGACTTCGTCTCACCTATTTTGGCCATGTTGTAAGAAGGGACCATTCACTGGAGAAAGATGTCATGCTTGGTATGGTGGAGGGTCAACGAAAGAGGGGGAGGCCTTCAAAGAGATGGATTGACACGGTGGCTGCAATCATGGGCTCAAGTATAGCAGGGATTGTGGGGCTGGTGCGGGATCGGGCAGTGTTTCGTTCTGCTGTGCATGGCGTTGCTATGAGTCGGAAACGACTCGACGGCACTTAACAACAACAACAACAGAGGTAAGTGATTCTCAAAGGAACTGAGAGGAGATGCTCTGCCCTTTAAGGGCACAGAATTACCTGAAGAGGTTTTCAAATTTCTGATTTCCACACAGCTTTTTCCTCTTTGATAATTTCTCCCCATTAGGCTATGACTCTTGAGAATCACTGCAGTAAGTCACCATCACTGTCGAGAAGGGGCTCTGTTATACTCCTTAGGTATCTTGGGGCAGAACAAATGTTGACATCATGCCATAAAGGTCTATTACTATATGCAGTACTCTGTTTTACTGCATGTTGTTGTTGTTGTTAGGTGCCGTCTGTTAGGCCGAAGCAAACCTAAGCCCCAATATGTCAGTTGGCAGCTTCCTCCAGGTGTCAGGCCTTGAGGAGACAGCCTGATAAGACAACCGAAGTGACAGAATCCACCCAGGCTGGAAAGTCCCATGCAATGACAATCTTCCTCCTGTGAAGCCCCCTCATGCTAATTAAGTGCAGACCCATGCTAACAGCTAATTGGACCCTGCCATTTCCTTAGAGGACCCTGTCATTTC